GTTTCAGTAATGAAGGAGTGAAGTTTTTGAGTATCTTGGAGTATCGACGTGTGTTTGCGTTTATGTGAAGAGGGTGATGTGAGTTTGTGTGTGAGTTGGAGTGATACATGAGAGTTTGTGAGAGAAGGTGTTTTGGACATGAGTGAGAGTATAAATCCTAGTCTTCTAGAACCATGATGCGCTACCACAAAGCCATCAGAGGTAAACCTGAGTGAGAGTCAGCCCGGAGGTTGCAGTGCTCAGCAATCGCAAGGTTCTCAAACGCTGCAGGCATAACTCGCCGAAAGAGTTGGGAACACACTCTCACCCATATATCTGGATCATCAAGGTTCACCACCTCGCTAGACTCACGACGAATTGCTGCAGGCAAATCTGGATCTCGGCCGTACAATAGAAAATATGGTGAAAACGAAGCCAAGGATGCTTGACGACTGAATCGATATCCCATGGCCAACCATGGTAGCTGAATATCACAGTCCCCAAGATGCCCCTTCTGTAGGCCATACTTGCGCAACGCTCTCTTCACCGTCTGTACCATCCGCTCAGCCAAACCATCCGCCTCTGGATGATCTCGGGAACTAGTCCGGTGATCAATCAGCGTCTTGTCACACAAGACCTGAAACTCACCTTGAAACTCTGTCCCCTGAACGGTCAACACCTCAGCTGGTGCACCAAAGTGACTAAGCACCTTGTCAAGGAAAGCATATGCTACTCCCTTACTCGCCTTGTCAGGTAATACCACCAACTCAATCCACTTGGAGAAATGCTCCACCATCACCAACACATACCGATGATGTCGTGTAGTCAAAGATAGTGGTCCAGCAAAGTCCAAACTCCAACGGTAACCCAATCCCATGATAGGTAAGGGATGTAACTCTAGTGTCGGGGCATTGAACGATGCCCTCACTCGATCACAAACCATGCAACGTGATACCAACTGCTGTACCTGTGTATGCATACCACGCCATCAATACTGACCAAGGAGTAAGCTATACGTACGCTTCACTCCAAAATGTCCCAACTCCTCATGAGCATGCCTCACAATGCGTTCTCTCTGAGTTGGATGCGGTACTACTCATACCCTACCGTCCTTCCACACTCGGAGAACATGTGCTCCCTCCAATCGGTATCTCTTCGCCCGCTGGAGAACACAATCTCGCTCCTTGGCACCCACTGTGCCTGGCACCATACTGGTCCGTAGGAACTCCAACACCAACGCATCATCGTGAACATCACGCTAGTCCACACCACCATCCTCAACCTCAGTATCCGAAGACTGATTATCTACTCTCTGACTAGAGTAAGATGTCAAGCGGTCCTCACTACTAGAGGCTCCACGTAACCAACACATGAAGGCCGATGCATGCCAACCGGGCACCATCTCCTCATCATCCTCACCATGCCACCTAGCTCCAGTGTCATCCTCCTGACTAGTGCATGGGTTCCGACTCAAACCGTCGGCATCCAGGTTCGCAACTCCAGGCCTATGCACCACCTGAAAGTCGTACTCCTGTAAGATGAGAGCCCACCGTGCAAGCTTCCATGTGAGCTTGTCAGACTCCATCAACCACTTGAGCGGTTGATGATCGGTAACAAGGGTAAACTGCGTACCAAACAAGTAGCACCTGAAGTGTGCCACAGCCCACACCGCTGCCAAACACTCTCCCTTGTACGAACTATACCGCGACTCTGCTGCATTGTTCGAATGACTAGCGTACGCAATCACAAACTCCTTGCCCTCATCATCACACCGCGTCAACACCGCTCCAAGTCCCAACATACTCCAATCAGTGTGCAACTGGTATGGTCGACCTCTGATAGGTCTCCTCAAGATGGGAGCGGCCACCAACCTGGCCTTGAGTTCAACAAAAGCTCTCTCCTGCTCATCTCCCCATTGCCACTCCTGATCCGACTTCAGCAACTAGTTCAAAGGCTTCGCTATAGCACTGAATGCCTTCACATATCTCCGGTAATAGTTTGTCAAATCCATGAACGCACGAACTCTACTCACATCCGCTGACGAGGAATGCGCGCAATAGCCTCCACCTTTGCCTGCTGAACTCCCAAACCACCTGGGTAGATCACATGATCCAAGTACTCCACCTTCTTCTGGAAGAACCTACACTTCCCAGGATGTAACCGCAGACCATGAGCCCTCAACCGCTCAAGCACAATCTGCAAATGTATCTGGTGTTGCTCCACCGTGTCGCTAAACACCAAGATATCATCAATGTAACATCTGACAAAATCTAGCCCAGCTAGAATCCTGTCCATTACTCTCTGGAACTCGGCAGGTGCATTCTTCAACCCAAAGGGTAAGAATCGCCACTGATACAAACAATCCTTGCCGTGGGAGTTGACACCCCAAAACGCTGTCTTGGCCTTGTCCACCTCTCAAATCGGCAATTGATGGTATCCCGCCCGAAGATCCAAAGTACTAAAAATTCTCGCATGCTCCACCACATCGAAGATCTCCTCAGGTGTAGGTATGGCATACTTATCGGCCTTCGTGTGCCGATTGATAGGACGGTAATCTCCACACATCCACCTATCCGTGTAGTTACCATGTACATCCTTCTTCGCTGGCATAACAGTGGCTGAAGCATACTCACCATGCGACAACTCCACTAACCCAGCCTCCAATAACTCCAACGTCCGACTCTGAATCAAGTCCCTTTCCATATCACTATATCGATAGGGACGACGGAAGATTGGCGTATCATTAGCCAACTCTATCCGTATGCCGGGTCCAATCAAAGTACCCAACTCCTTCATACTGAAGGCAAAACAACTCCTATAGTCACGTAAGAATTGTGTCAACCGTCGTCTCTCTCCTCCGGTGATCTGAGAACCAATCGATGGCTCCCACTCCTCCTCCATGGACCCACAAGAGGGAGGCGATACTGTCACTAGTTGATATGACACCTACTCCAAAGGAGGGTTCTCCGTACCCTCCTTCGTAGCAACCTCCCCGTGACCAACATCTCCAACTGCATAGGCGTCTACTCTCGCAAGTCCTCTCGACACTTTCCATGAACTCCAAGGATGACAAAAATCTTGCAAGTCGCCCCTAGCCATTGCCACTACCGTCCCAGTAGGCAATGAGCTAATAAGTGATGTAACAACCACCAAATCTGCGCTCAAACGGCGTTGCTCGGCCAAACCCAAGCTCACAATCCACGTCAAGCAGTTCAGGTCCATAGCCTGACCCAAAACCTGACGACGCGACGCCTCTGAAACTGAAGAAGCCGCGGTCACACCAGTAAGAAACCCCATCGCACGCTCTCTCTCATCAGCGTTGGGCTCCACCAACTGATGTAGGATACTGTCCCACAGTACTCCAAGTCCCCCATCACAATATGCATGTGATGCCAGATAACTAACCAACGTAGGCAAAGCCATCCGAGGCTGACCTACGTGGTTCACCAATGCCATGGGTGATCTATCCGCCACTCTCACCACCTGAGAGTATCGAGAGACATCCAAGATCCTGTCAACGGTGAGGGTAGGATCACGATGCACAGAATCATACGCATGACGCAATATCTCTCGTGGTACAAGGTTGGTCCACCACAAACGTGCACGATGAGCACGTGAACCAACCCTCGCAGCATCCAACAACACTGCTGATCCAATCCATGCCCTGACCTCATGGACACTCGCCATCAACTGGGCCCGAGTGTCATCCAACAATGTTATGTTCTCTAGAATGTATGCGGGAGAACGTGTCTGCTGCTCCTGGAGATGACGTAACACTCGTAGCATCTCCCAAAACATCCGAGATCTCGGATCATGTAACCCTGCTCCATGCCCAGCGCGTGTGTGCCCCTGACATGGCCATCCCGCAATCACCAAATCGATATGTCCAATTCGATCGAGGTCTGGCGCCCCCAGCAATGAAATGTCTGAAGGCAACGCCTTCTGGTATCCTCGAACAGCTGATCGCGGCAACAACAAAGTAAAACACTGCATCAACTGTGTAACATGTCGTGAAGAAACCTGACGTGCAGTCTCGTACTTCTCCACGTACAAGTATCTACGTACAAGAATACCTGACTGCAACACTGCAGCCAAACCCATGCTAATTCCTCCAAAAAGATCTAGCAAACAAACAACCTCTGGGGAATACTCCCATACGATAGGTGTAGTAACTAATGGTGATAGGGTGCTAAGACCACATACTAGCCGACCACCTAAGACTCGCTCTGCCTCTGCTGGTAAAGAGGCCTCACTCCAAGACTTCTTCACCAACCTATCAGCCTCATGCTGTAATGCGTGGCAAGAACCCAAAAGTGGAACATCCAAAGATGATGACACTGCCGCTGCAAGACTCACCATCTCCTCCACCTCCTCATAGATTGGAGTATCCTCGGCTGACCTGTTCCCCTCCAACAAGTCATCAGGCCATGTGAGCACTCCACTGAAACCCGCAATAGAGGCTAAAACTGCAGGAGAAGATCCAAAAAGTCGATCTCGAGAAATGAACCTCACAGGTAGCTCACTCATACGTCCATCACCGGACTCCCAACCAGGGCGATAAGCTGCCGTCTCCGTCCAATAATCCATCCGAAATCCCATCGGATATAACACCGCTCCACCAACAAGCACATCATATGACTCTGCTGATGTAACCACCGCTCGAACTCCAAACTGCGAGCTATCCTTAGCATGACCATGCCTCAACTGCACTGATATGCGCTCTCTGGTCATCCCGTAAGACCTATCGCTGGTGCCACCGAGTGATGTCTGAATCTGGAACAGACAAGGCTCCAACTCGGACCTCCGAACTCCCAAACTAATGCAGGCAATCTTGCCCAACATCAAAGGCTGTGCACCAGAATCCAGCAACAATCTGGCTGGGACATACACATGCCCTGTAGCACTCACCAAGCAAAATACACCGCTCCGGTTGTCCATCATACACACACCAGGGACAATCCTCTTCCGATCAATGGCTGGTCGGGCTGGCAAGGACTCCATCCGTGCCGCTGCCGCCTGCCATCTCGACTCAATCGCTCGATGGAGTCGTAGAGGAAAGCTCCTCACCAATAGTCTCGCCAATCTCGGCACTTGTAGCAGTGATACTCCCACATTCACACAAAGTGGCTGCTGCACGAAAAACCCGAGCCAAGTCAATCCCAGAGTCCATCAGCTCCATAGCTGAAAATAGTGGAGATCTCATCACTGAGCTAGCCATCCGCGTCACTGCACTAGATGGTGTGTCCGTGTCCACCACACGTGACGTAGATGTCTCAGTCCTCCCACTAAGTTCACTAGGTGGTACAGGTCTCATGGATGAAGTATTGCCCACCTCTGACAACAAAAACGACTAGGGAAGTCTGGCCTGACGCCCACCCTCACCCCTCTGAGGATCCAACTCCCCTGTCGCACCGCGTGGCTCTAGAGCTTGAGCTGCACCTCTAGTCACTGCAACCGATGCCTCCACCTGTGCTGCACTCGCTAAATAAGGGAAATCCTCTCCCTCGTGAAATGTGGACGAGCTCGCCCAAGTAGCAGCCATAGCAGCAAGCCTCTGCTCCAACTGCTCAATCCGGGCCGCCATCGCGCTCTCTGTAGCTGACGCAGCACTCGCTACCGGTCGTCCAACTGCACCAGCACCTCTACCACCGCGGCCACCTCGGCCCCGTGGAGCATCACCACCACGACCTCTACCACCAGATGTCAACTTTGGATGAAGATCAAAACATCGATCTCGAGTATGACCTGCTCGACCACAATGGTCACACACCACCTGTGCTGACTGGGGTCTGGCCTGTGAACTCCAACCTCCGGCCTCCTGGGGACAATCTCTCCGCAGATGATCCCCTCCACATGTCCAACATGCTGGTCCCTGCTGCTGGCCAACAAACGACGGCACTGGTGCACGTGCCCCTGTATCTCTAGCGGCCGTTTGGTGTCGTGTCTGCACTCCGCGACCCCCACCACTACCATCACCAAAGGGTTTAGACTGTGCCGTGCTCTGCGGGACACGAGAGGTAGTGGCTGCGTCTCTAGCGAATGAAAAAGTCACCACTCTCTCCTCCACTATGTTAAGCTCAATCTTCTCAGAAAGAGCAAACACAGAGGCCAATGTCGGTGACGCATCGCTCAAGAGAGTAGCATCTCGAACCCTCCGCCGTAGCTCTCTGTCCAGTATCCTGTACCAATATTGGACCGCCTGTGCCTCAGTTACACCGTGAGTAACTGAGATCAACCGCCGCATACGCGTGTATGCCTCCCAAAGACTCTCACCAATCTTCCGCTCAAACTCCTGGAGACTCCTCAACTTCTCCGTCCTCACCCCCTGATAGTTCTTCCTCAACCTCTTGAAGAAGTCAGGAATGGGGCTGAACGAAGGTACGCCAGTAGTTTCCCTACTCGTGCTGGCAACGCCCACAGCACCGCTGGTGGTACCTGCTCCACTAGTACCATCGGTGATGCTATCAGTTGCACCTCCACTGGTACCAACACCATCCTGGGTGATCGACGTATAGTTTGGAGACCAATGACGCCTCCATGCGTCAATCTCCACAGCATACTCTCTCCCAAACTTATGGTAGTCATCCATGGGAGGCCCCTCTAGATGCTGAAACAACCCCTTCCATGCAAAGAAGGGTGTAAACAACGTGGGGTTACGCAAGAACTGCATATCGCACCACGTGTCAAACTCCTGGATGAAATCATCCAACTCAATGGTGCCCACTGCCCAGAGTACCGCCGTGGGCCCTTCATGGCCCCGTACATACCGTCCATGTCCCCAGTCCACGAGTGTGGGACCCTAGATGATATCACCACCAAAGATCCACTATCTGCCACACCCCGCGCCTCTGCAACCACAGATGCGCTAGGATGAGGTAGCCGATACCTCAACTCACTCCGCGTAAATCCTTCACGGTCCTCAACGGAACCACCAAACTCCTCCGTGATGACTGACTCACCAACCGGCACCACTGCCACAACTCCACCTGCCCTCGTCCCTGCACTAACCTGCTCTAGCTCTACTGACTATGGGTATGGGCAACCTAACCTATCATCACCGCAAGGAGACTTTCATGGTCCACTAGTCATCACTCCAGTTTCACCATGAGAGAAACAAAGATAGGCGCCGGTGATCAAATCCAGCCGCACTATCGACAGCACACTGGAATAAAACTACTCCGGAAATCAATGTCAACCCAGACATGGGCGCGCATCAACAAGCCAGACTGGAGAGGATTCAAACACAAGCAAACAGCTAGCAACGACTCTCCAGCCGAAATGAAACACAACACAGAACAACACAACACACGGGACATCGCCTCGCATCGCGACCCCGAGTCGAACTCCATCGCCCCCTACCACCTTCCGTCTCCAGCGCCTGCAACGCCATTCCGTTCATCCTGTCGCAAAGATGATATCCACGCCGAGCTGTCCCGTACTTCACCTCATACCTCCACTTCACGCTTCAACCAGGGGCAAGGAATATAACAAATAGGAAAAACCTATCTACCCTAATTGTTCCACATAGACAAAAGTAATAATGATAAAACCATTATTTTCACAACTGAAAAATCATAATAAATGAGACTGAGTGCAAATTCTCAGTTTCTCCAGAAAAATAATTTCTATTTTTTTTCTATTTTTTTCTCTCTTTTCTCTTTGATTTTTTTTTCTTCTTATTAGTGATCAAACATGTGCACACTTACTAACTTCCGTATACAAAGGATGATAAAACCATCGATGACAATTGTACTTCTCTCCCACTGTAGCAAATTGATTTCTTCTATCACTACTACCCACAAAGGCCTAAAAAAATAACCTACTAAAAACAGACGCGTAATGAAATCACCAGATTTTTCTCTTTGACTTTCAATACCACAGACCAATTTGCATCAGATTTGATAATGCCTACTTCGATTCAAACCGTAGCTACTATTTTAGGAGTGATCGCTATTTACTAGACATAGTTTGACTGTGACATGTAGCAAGTCACCTCCAACATCACACTCAATCCTCCTCGAGGCGGGCTTCTGATAGACTACTTCTATTCTCCGGCCTTCATACAAGCCACTACATGTTGTCCCACATTACACTTTCGCTGGAGTTGTACGGGAGAACTTGGCCCCTGAAGAGTACAGCAGTGCCACAATGGCATCAGGCACAGCAAAATTAAGTTCCCCTGATGATTAACTTCCGCGCGATCACAAGATCGGTATCTTGGTGACAAACATATGAAAGACATGGCCTCCGCTAGCGGACTCGAGTCACTGGTTGATCAAACCATATTCGTAATTACCAACGACGGTCGCAACATTGTGGGTGTTCTCAGGGGGTTTCGGCCAGGCCACCAATCTCATACTCGACGAGTCTCATGAACGCGTTTATTCTACGAAGGCTAGAGTGGAGCAGTTGGTGCTTGGACTTTATATAATCCGTGGAGATAACATTGAAGTTGTTGGAGAGCTAGATGAAGAGTTGGACTCGAATCTTGATTTAAGTTCCCTACGTGCCCATCCTTTGAAACCTGTAGAGCATTGATGTCAAAGTTCTGCTCGACATGGCGAGCTCCTGTCTTCGAAAATTTTACCCACCGTTGAGAGACAGCGAATGGTACCAGAACTTGCAAAGCTCTTACAACTTTCAGCTCTGGCTCTTGCGTCTGGCCGTGGCCAACTAACAGCAACGTGCGCACACAATTAGTCAGGAGGATATTGTAACCTGCTGCAGGTTTGAGATATGAACCTCAATAGTACATCGGAATATCGAAAGATTACGGGGTGTCAAACACTTCTAAATCGTAGAAGCTGGACAACACTTGTGAATAGATAGATGTATGCTCGAGGATGTAGCTGTTGGAATCCACTCTTCAATCGTATCTCTACGTCCGAGAGTGGGCTGCAAGCAAAGCTGTACGGATTTAATTTTTGGTCGGGAAAGAATGCTAAACACAGCAGGAAGGAAATGATCACAACTCCTCCCTCTACATGTCCGATACAGACCACAAATATGCTTCTCGCTCCATGGCCTGCTTCCGTCCTACTTCTCTACATCATCCTCACGCTGCTTTCCGTCACTCGACTGTGGAGTCGGAGGTCCAACCCCTACCGGTGGCTGCATCATCATGCCATACTCGTATCCTGTTCTTCCTTTCTTCGAACAATCTTCGAACAATCTGTTCTCCCGATTTCACCTCAAAATTAACCTAGTATCACAAATTCAAAACGATACCACGAGCTCCAAGAACCTCAACACGACCTCTCCCTAAGTACGGCAGGTCTTCACCTCCACCGTTCCAAATCCCTTATGATAAATGCGAAACCTCAGAAAAGCAACCCGGACCGCAAAACACCTCGCACAACCTCTAAATTTTTGCTCTTTATTCAAATTACGCTCTTCCACTTTTCTCGCGCCACCACAACAAAAACACCGAAGCGTACCACGCGCGTAGATAAACAAACCCTCACACCTACTAGTATATCACACTCTGTTGAGCCCTCCGAGCCTTCGGTGAGGGAGTGATAAAACACAGACATGACCACCGGAGAATGAACCAACGAACACCACACCGACACTGACATATTCGGCACCAGAAACAAGAACACAACACAAGACGCAGTTCTTCGAGTAAAAGGAATGTCGAAACACAAATACACAAAGAGTCGAGCCAAACTCACTACTCGTAGGTGGACTAAAAGTCGAAGCGAAGGAGAAAAACCCCGACGCGTAAGGCTCAACTCGAAGAACTGTCAGTTCTTCGAGTTCGCCTCGAATATAAACCTGTAAAGTCAACCTAGCCTAAGCTCCGCGTCTCAACGTTAGCGACTCCCAACGTCACCCGACTCACACTCGAATCCAACGTCTGAACTTAAATCGACACCAACTTCGATCTGCAACTGCACTAACGTGAATATAAACCTGTAAAGTCAACCTAGCCTAAGCTCCGCGTCTCAACGTTAGCGACTCCCAACGTCACCCGACTCACACTCGAATCCAACGTCTGAACTTAAATCGACACCAACTTCGATCTGCAACTGCACTAACGTGCATACACATGACATCAGCTTCTTGGTATGAGAGGGTGTATAGCAAAAACATTTCCTTGTGCGGCTTGTTATAACATTACTTTGGGTTTTTGCTATCCACGTGGGCCCGTATGATTTTATCAATTCCATAACTCGCGGTTTTCTTTAGCCTTCAAATGTGCAAACCTTGAGGAGGATGCACGCGGTCAAGCACTGCTCTGATTGTGGATACCTTGAGCCTTCGCTGCGCTTCAAACCATTTCGGTGTGGGAACATTCGTTAGTTCCATCGCTGTCTTGCGCCGGAAAGAGTCTACAACACCTATCGCCAAATGCGTGGAGTCTAGGAAGCGAAGTGTTAGTCGTTCATTCGAAGTGACTAGGTCCGAACCATGCGATGTACCGAATAGTGTCTTGCTCGTTGTACATTTCAAATGTCCAGACGTGAGTGCAAGGTTTTCCCTTTCCATCCAAAACCATAGCTCTGCAAGTTCATGTATTCTAAAAGTCGTGGTGACTGTTTGCACCTGGACACTCCCTTCTAGAAGTCTTCGATAGGATCGTCCACTTCAATTCAATATAGACGCTTAAACGGAATGCTGGTCTTTGCATTTATCTCTATGTGACTGCTGATTCTCTACCGCTGCCTTCCCTCAAATCAGCATCTTAATGTGAGTTCCAGTCACACGATAATGGTGCTCAAATCTTTCCATTCTTCACTTTCCACTGATTACATGAAATCCACGACATGGTTGGAGGGAACACAAACATACAGCATCAGTATCAGCTCGAATTCTTATGACTGAACCAACTGAAGAAAGAACCACTGAAGATTAATCAGAGGCAGAGCACGAATATTTCTATAGGTCGACTTTGTCTCACAATCGAACGTTTCACGTACACAATCAAACATTTCACCACGATGAGATTCCAGAATATTTCAAGCTTTATCCACATTAAAGCTGACGCAGCCTAAAGCTCCAGAGCCAGTGTCATCTTCAAGACGAAGGTTGGTGGTTAGTGACCAATAACAATAAAAACTAAATATTTATTCATCACGAATTCAAAAAGGCTGCACTTGAAAGAGGGTTAACAGGTACAGTCCGGCTTTTGGATAAAAAGAAATGTTGTAGATGGGGGACAACTTTTGGGCGTGACTCTGGTTCAAAGAATTTTAGGCGGTGAACCTTAATTTTTAAATCTAACATATTACACGAGGTTGCCTCAAGGAGGTTGCTCCAGCCAGAGCTACTTCACCTGACTGACAACTCTAACAAATTTCAATCATCATGTGTAATTCACCACACTTCGAGTTCTAAAAAAGACATGAGTTTACTTGAACAGTCGTAAACATTTCCTTCTCACAGACGCTTACGCCTCGATGAACCACTGGGAAACAACTGCATAATCCATCCAAGTACTCTATCCACCACCTGCGCACGCATGACCGTAGAGTTATATGAATAATGCTTCTCACTGTAGCACATCCCCACGTCTTTGCTAAGAAAGTGTTGTACTCACATACTTCGAAAATTCCAACTGAAAAATGCATATTCTCCAACCTCTCGCGGGAACCGGGAAAAGAGATGAAGAGCATATACATGTACTAAGCATACCTCATCTCCTTCATCGACGTACACAGGTCCCAATCGAGACGTTTCATATGCATTTTCTATTGTTGGAGTAGAACCGTGTGCCATGCTTTGTGCTACTGCCAGCTCTAAACGCTGTGTTTGCACTTCCAACTTCTGAGACAGTTCTGCATTCAAGGCCTGTTACAAACCAAAAACTTTGTCAGTATTAGCGCTAAAAATATGAGAAATTAATAATAAGAGCAGAGGAACTTGAAATAGATTCATCACTCAGATACTTCTCAAAACTAAAACACAACAAAGTTTTGACCATGAAGGATTGGTATGCGTGTTCAATCTTGAAACTGAAGAAACTCAATATACTTTTCGATGTCAGGAAGTGTATTACCCTCAACTCAGAAGCTCCCACGGACTCAGAAGCTCTTAGAGCTTTCAAAAGAGCCTCCTTCTCTTCTGCCAACTGATTTGCACAGACCAGAGGAAACACGATATATAATCCAGTTCAGGTGATACGCTCGAAACACTAAAACAAACTTATTTTCGGCAAAGTGCTTCACAAAGTTAGATCTCATGTAAGAAGAAAGCAAATTGATATTTACCTCCGAAATTAGATTGTTGATATTCTCAACAATCACTACTTGATCGTGAGGAATACTCGCAGATCCCGAGCCCAAATGAAGACTACGTCCACCGAGACTGGCGCCCGTTGGACCTGTAGAAGACTGGATAAGGGACGCCCTGGCTGTTATATGCGTCGAGGACGATTCTGAGCTTTGACCCACATGGGAAGGAGACAAAAGTGGTGTTATCTGAACTGAAGGCATGATAGCAGGTTGTCCATGCTGTTGATCCAAAGACGGAAATCCAGCTGGTTGAGAATTCTCGAGGGAAAGTTGTGACGAGGGAAGTAACACTGCGGTACCCGCGGTCAAAAAGGCTTCCAACTCTGCACGTTTCAGACAGCATATCCAGACAATTAGAAGGAAGTAGTTTATTCGATATTATGGATAGAAGGACCTGACTTGAAATCTTCATCCAGCCATCTTTCAATAACATAAGGAGAAGCCGTAAAGGCGTGAATTAGAAAACGTTAGGTGTCTGCCATTCTGATTCCGAATTAGTTCACCAGCTGTGTTTAAAGCAAGTTGTCTTTGGCAACCGATGTCAGCGTAGGTGCTCTGGCGCACCTCTATACAGATAAATATGCAATCGTCCAAGCTTCAATGGATTTTTCGGCCGAGGAAGTTACTTCTCTTCAACTCTACTTCTCTACGGAGAATCATTCGCTAGAATGAAGGTCACTGTCAACAGCACGTGTAATCTTCAACCCTGCAGTTAAAGAAGAATCTTTCGGAAGACCAAACCAGCTCTAAACTTTACGACTTTATTGGAATTATTTCTCCATTAAATGCCATGTCAAAACCAAGATGAGGCCAAATTTGATTTTATTTTCCGAAAACTAGATCAGTGTATCCATTTCCGAGGGTTCACAACGTACCCAAATCTTCCGTGGAAGTAGAAACATCCGATTTTCTGATGGCACTTGCTGCTGATGGTAAAGGAACATCACTAGTGGCAAGTCGTCCATCCTCAACATTAACAGCTTTCCGAAGACGTGCTTGAAGAAGAGATTTTTCTGGCGACGAACAAGCGCAGCACAAACATTGGTGGAGCACATACAGAGGTTGAATCATGAAAGAAAGAACTTTGAACATTATTCTAAAGGCTGCGATGAGAACCAAAACTAGGAAGGAAAGTCAAGGGGCATAATCTAGAAAGGGCAGCAGAGCAAAGACACAGTTCTGCATCGTAGTTCCCCGAAATGGACAACTCAATGTCGCCCAAATGGAGTATATATAATACTTTGCAGGTAGAAACCAGTCAGCCTTTTCAGCACAATCGTAGTTTGAGCACATAATTTGGACTGTACCTTCTTGTAGAGCTTCCACAAGAGATCGCAAATTCGCTCGATCCTTCTCTAGAGACGTAATCTGTCGTCTGCAAGGATGGTAGATATTTCATCAACTTGAAGTACCCGTATTGTACAAAAGTCATTCTAACCATTCTAGCACCACACACAGTTTTGTTGACCAGCGCTGTTCTGGTACCAAAACATTGTAACAAGAAGCCGATGTTGGTCATATGGAAGCTAACATATAATGTAAACGAATCTGAACATCTAGAAATTCATGTGAGAATCATGTATAACTCTTATGAATGACACGAAATGTGCTTAAAAATTAATTACAAACAAAAGGTTGTAAACAATACTTTTGAGACTCGGTATCAGCAGATAGAGACTCCATCTCCCGGTGCAGCTTCAGTTCTTGAGAACGAGATCTAAGAACCTGCAAGAAACTGAGCTCTACTTCAACATGTGCAAGGAAAAACTCTAAAAGATGGACAACTTAATCCTCATCACTGCCAACGCATTCTAAAGCGTATCATTTCTAATTGACGAGGGTTCAACCTGTACTGTGCAAATCGAGTAGTTTCAAATTAGCGGCAACCATGCTTTACTTTCCGTCTAAAAGACTATCTGAATTTGCGGCTCGGCATGTTCAATTATTCTTTTGGGAATAGCTCTCCCTCATCAGGCAAAGGATGTGGAGCTAGTGAACCAGCATACACCTCGCAAAGGTAAAGGGAGTGCCAAGTTTCAAAACCTATCACCGCAGAGTGTTTTCAACTTGAGCATAAATGGCACAGGCGATGGAGAACATAACAATCCTCACTCAAAGAAATATACCTTCTCTTCAAGGGCAATAACCTCGGCAGCAAGGGCTTGAGCTCGTCCAACAGCTGCTTTGCTTTCTTGAATTGCTTTATCCCTTTCAGATTTCAGATTCTTTACCACCACCTGCATTGAAGGTAAGGACCGGCCATTTTACGAATCATAAACATAGAACATAATACAGCAACGGCTGACGAGGAAATTCAGAATACAAAGAACTTCGTACAAAGAAGACTGTCGAAAATTAAAATTTGCAGATGTGCGGACTTGTAAATATACCAGGTCATCGAGGTGGAGACATTGAACATTATTTGCACATGAGGCTCATCACTCACATGCTTTGAAGAGTCGAGTATTCGCTGTCAATGCGACAGGTTTATGACATACTACAGACGGGGCATATATCTCTCACATATGAACTGGTCTCACTGACATCTCTTGAAGGCTTCTACTCTCAGGATATCTCAAGATAACACGTCATCATTGAGCTAATCAATGCACATCGTCGAAAGGTGCTCCCGTCAATATGCACAAGGTGACATCGACCTGTAGCAGAAATCATGACGTACGGTTCTCTCCATTGTAGGGTACACTCAGACGAAGAGATGGTTTTATAAGATCTAAATTACAGGAAGAACGGGTAGAAGACACAAGGAACGTACAGCTTGGGCACGCATCTCTCCATTCTGTCTCTCAGTCTCATCTTTCAGCTCGTTCACCAACGCTCCCTGCAAAATTGATATTCATTCAAACGCGACAGACACAATTCGACATAGGAATTTCTGTAGACACTGCAGTCAATGTTTATAAACAACGCAACCAGGTATATTACTTTTTCACTAGCTGACGCCTGGTTACCTGCTTCACGGCGGCAATTATACGAAACGTGAACACTAGTCAGTGATAATTTGAGGAGAGCATGTACCTTGCTGCGACCCAAGAGTTCTCACGCTACACACATTCATACTCAGTGGCTGATGCATCAAGTTTCTGACTCTTGAAGTGTACACAAGAAGAGCATAGACGTAGTACCTGCTTGTTATAATCTTCAGCAAGAGCGGAATTCTCCTGTACTAACGTGTCCGCTAGAGCTCTGGCAGCATCAAGACCCCGTTGCAATGAGAACTTTTCTTGAGTCAAATCCTCAATGTGCTGCATTCAAATGACATCCGCTAATAATCAAATTGTTTGTTGGGATGAGACCGAAAATTGCGACCTGACCTATCAACATATGTATTGACCCAATCTGCTAATTCAAACTGCATCATAATCTTTGAGTTCCAGGAAAATACCTGTTCCAGCATAGAAAAGTCATCTACTGCAGATTTTGTTGGAGGTAGTTGCCAGTTCTGATCCACAGGCTCCGCCACTTTCTTAGTTTGGGTTGGAGATTCTAGAGCAGCAGTTGATCTTGAGTTGGGCCTATAAGGGCTGGTTTTAGGCTCCACGATACCATTTTTTATAAAAGAAGAGGCAGATAATTCATCGGATAGAACAGGTGCACTGTCAAAACCACTGGTACTAAAAAGCGGTGGTTGGATTGACGCGTTTGAAGAGGTTCTGGTATCTGAAGAATCGTTCATACTCAGTAGAGAAGGTGGCAGAGAAGGTTCTGATTTACGAGGGACAGAATATGTAGGAGAAGGATATGACTTGGGAGGGATATGAAATGGCAGGTACTTGGGGTCTGGTGCATCAGAGTGGGGAAGAGGCACCGGAACAAAATTACTAGAAGTACTAATGGGAGGAGGTACTGTGCTAAACCACCTATTCACAGCTGAAATTGGTACTTTTTCTGTTTCCGACTCGGGCATCCTCCAACTTTCATTATTCCTAGGAAAAATAGCAGTAATACCTGCATTTGATGCATTTCCATCTGCGACACAAACCATGACGAGAAACAGTCATCAGACTTAGAAGAGAGTTTTTGAACTTAATGAGCTATAAGGGACAGTTGACTCACTCTACACAATGCCGCATTGAAGTCAAATATCCACTCAAGATGATTTCAAGCTCACCAGTCTGCCTGTCAGGCCTCATCCATTCACTTGCAGGCACCGATGCTTGGAACCCTGAGGGCCTTGCAGAAGACACCAATTCTTGCTCTGGCTCCATAGAGCTTGGAGGATGATCTTCTATACGTGCAGTGTTTGAAAACAGCTTGTTGTCTAACTTCACCAAACTTCCTCCACCCGGTCTCTGGGTTGCAGGTAACGGATTGTTTTGGAATGCTTGACTTGCAGGAAATGGGAGAGTGAAAGGAGAAGGACGTACAAGAGGTGGAGTTTGAGCAGTATCTACCTTGCCAAAATTACCAACGGAGATTGGGGCTTCAAGGTGCTGAGGTACAAGTGGAGGTGTAGACGCAGGGAGAATTAATGGACCAATACCACCAAGTGGAGCTGTTGGCTTTCCAAACCCGTTTCTGCTGTATGTGTAATTATTGGCGGAGGAAGTCGGCATTGAAGCCTGAAAGCTTGGAACACTTTCTGTTCTTCCAAAAGGGCGTCCTGTTGAGCCAATACTAGGTTGATCAGTTCCGTGTATATGTGATCCTCTAATTGTATCAAGATCATAGTTACTAGAAGGTACTTTCGAGTCGAAATCTTGTTCCGCCTCACGAAGTCGAGCTTCCGCATTTGAAGACGGTAAATTTTCCAGGCTGTCAAACATTGGAACCTTGGCCACCTCTGCGGTCGTAAAGACTTCTCGGGAGCTCGTATCAGCTCCATCTTGATGGTTGTCTTTCGAGACATGTCCATTAGAAACCGCCGATGTGCTTGGTGGGACTGAAACACTGCCAGCTACACGCTGCTGTTCATCCTCGGGGGCATTCGGACTTGATTCATTATTGGTGGGTCCAGCGGGGGTCTTCCGTTGTTTACCAGCCTTTTTCTCATTCTTGAACGCCTCCCACTGAAACAAAGCAGAGAAAAACTAGTTAGTATACCCAAATAAAGTGAAGCTTGAGACCTCCTACACCTTAACTCCATTTCCCTTCGCTTGAGATCATCCAATACTTGATCAATCTAGGTTTGAAACAACAATTTCAACGCGTAACTTACTCAATCCTGAGGTTGTACAAGGTACACAGAGATTTAAAAAATTACTCTTTTGATTGATTAATTGACTGTTTACAAGTATACTTTAAAAACTACCGACCAGTTTCTCAGATGGCTCATTGTTTCTTAGAAGTTTCTAGAGCAAATTTATCGTTCAATCCAAACCCAGCAGTTTTGAGAATGGAACAATGGAACGAACAATTCAATGCTGAGACTAAAATTGCCAGCTGCTAAAATTCCTTCATCGCGGCAGATGGTTTCCATTCGAGTTTGAAGTTTGTATTCTATTGGTACGCATTTACTTGCAACCAACTACTAACAGTCCAACTCAATCCTTGACCTTTGACAACCAGTCCTGGACGATGCTTACCAGAACAATTTCTGGCAATTAATTATATTTGTTCCTATTAATTGCTGCGTATGGCTTCGCTTTTCGAACTGTGTCTATGACACAGTTCGATGACACATGTTCGTATGGCTTCGATGTGTGTCTCTGTGTGTCAGCTGACACACACAGACAAACTATATATGATACTGTCTGAAGGACAGATCAACGAACCATGTACATATCAAGTAGCACCACCGGGATAGGTACAAAGTTTTTTCGCGGGACAAAATCCGTCTCAGTATACAATTTCGTTATTTTCTGGCAAAACTGAAAGAAAAATATGCGGCGGCCATAAGAAGCTGTCATCAGGGTCAAGGAAGTGGTGACAGGCCGAACGAGACCTCGATCACAGCACTGTAGTAAGTCCTAATTTCCGGTAATTCTACTGTGGCTTGACCTCGAACAAAGACTTACGTACGGTGACCTGAGGCCAGAAATTCCACTCCTTCATCACTCAAGGATTGTGATCGTACTATAGGCCTACGGAGGTATTATAAAGACCAATTTGATAGCAACAGCTTCAAGTTCAAATTGCAGTCACTTTCGTGAGTGTGTAATCCTTCCGTAGGACAACACCGATTCATCCAAGAAGGCAAAGATACTAGTAATCTACCAGCTAAGATAATCTCTCAACGTCATCAGCAATGGGATGTAACATACTGAGATCCGCTTTCAAAAGAATTTCCAAGATCGCTAGCCAGTTGTCAACTGAGACGGAATTATGCCCATATCCAGATGACTTTCACACTCCACAAAACAGGCAGACGTGTGTGCCAGCACCGAGTGGATCTGATGAAAAGCGAACTTGTCGATTTCATAACATCGAAACTCGTCTGCTTCGTGACGAGTCAGAGATTCGAAAGACATTCTCGAGTCGGTTAGACCAGATGAGCAGATTATTTACCCGATATATATATATAGAAAAAAAAACCAAGTGAACAGAGAAAGAAAGAATGGTATACCCGACGACGTCCAGCAGCTACATCTTGCTGCTTTTTGGAGGAGGCAGGATGGGCGGATGAAGAAGATGAAGGTCCTGCATTCGAAGGGATAGAGGAGGGTGGCGAAGATCGATAAGGAGAGGGTGCAGGGGCAGCCATGCCGTACGTGGCCCGGCAGTGGGACGGCAATCAGCATGCATGGCCTGTGGATTTCTCTCGTTCCGCTCGTCCCTTCAACCTGCGTCTACTACGTGCGACTCCTCCCTCATATTCCCGTTCGCGAATTACATATACATCGACTAGAGCTAACTCCATCCTCCTGGACCGGGCAAGGCTCCCGCTACACCAACAGACTCCCATTAATTAGGGCAGCTCCGCTCGAGTTCCTCGCTTCCCCTTCCTAGCTCCAAGGTTACTCTGCTCCTCCTCGACCTCCTCATCAAATCCTCCATACTGTCTTCCCTAAATTCTTGGCTCTCTGCGCTTCTCACTTACGTCTCGCCCCTACCCCTCCGCTTCCCTGTCCCTCCCCCACTCCACTCCACGCCACGCCACTCCCAGCACCGCTCCTCAATAAACACTGCACACCCTCAAACGAGTACACTACAGTAGTCCCCGGAGAGATCTCGCCTTCCACATTCTAACCACTGTATGCGCCTCTGTACCTCCACCACCGCGGAGCGCGATCGCGAGATTGAAGCAAAAGGTCGAGGAGATACAGACGAGGGCACACACGACATCATCGTCTCATTCAATTCTCAAGACACACTCGCCGTAGCGACGAGGACGACGCGATGCGGGTGACAGAATTTCAGCCCAACACGATTGCAGGTTTGACAGCCCGAGCCACGAGACCTCATAAACATAAATAACCGAGACAGAGGTCGCAGCAGAAGAAGAGCAGGAAGAAGAATTAGCAGAACACGAATGAAGGAAGGGCGAGGGCGACGGGAGGCGACAACAGAACAGAACAAAACAAAACAGAGCTCGACGCAGAGAGAAAGAAAGGAAGGAAGGAAAGAAGAGAAGGCTCAGTCGGCTGGTTTTAAATCCGCCTGTCTGCTCGCACTCTGCCAGCACAGCACTTCACTCTTCGCAGCCGTTCTCGGCGCGTCATGACCTGCGCCGACATTACCTGCGCCCCGACGCTCACCAGTCGCGGCCGCGACTCTCAGCGCGTGCACGCTTGTCCTTTGCGGGCCTGGCCTGTCCTTTCCGTCATCGCTCTGCTTTAGTTCGCTTTGCTTCGGCCGCGCACCGTGATCTGGCCGGTGGCGTTTTCCTCTTGCCTTCACGGGTCGTACGACTTGTGATGATTGCGTGCACCCCATTGGCTCCCTCTGCGTTTCCACCAGCGCTTTAACTTCTTTTGGCCTGTTTTCCCTTTGAGTAGCTTGCGTGCCCTACGTGAAATTAGTTCCTCGGCCCGGAACTTCCACTTTCCCCTGCTCCAATTTTTACGACGAATGCAGCTATTTTGACATTTCCTGATCCCTTGGTAGTAAATTTCCATATGCTTTCAGTATTCCACTTCAGAGTGAAGATCTGCATCAATTTCTACTATCACAGCGTCGACTAGAGATATATGTAATGATAAAATCACATGATTGTGAGTCTCGTTTCATAGAGTTATCTCGAATTCGAAGTGGATTTAAACTCTTATAAATCGAATTGTGAATGTTTCATAGCTTAAATATTTTTATATTTAATATAATAGGGGAAAAAGACCAGAAAATTGAAGACTTCATCGGTGATTGGACATGCTAAAATGAACGCGTAAAAGGGAGAAACGAACAAACAAACATTAGATTGCATATGCGACTGGACATGGAGTTAAGCTAAACCATTGAAGAGGAAATATGACAGACAAGTTGAGAATGAGCACGTCATCTGACAATTTATCACTTCAGGATAAAATTGAAAACAATTTAAAGTCATGAATAACATGAGTAAGATATACTATATACATTTCATATAGCTTCATGAGTAATTATCAAAAATCATAGATTGAGAAAAGATAGAAAAATGACAAAAGTATTTGATTTATCAAAATAAAAGATTGATAAAAAAAGCATAATTTTTTTTTATCCAAAAAAAATAAATATGTGTATCAAAGTCAAATTCATAATCACTCATACATTCATAATATAAAATAAAATTTTTTTTAAATGTATTGTTTTGTTATTCAAAAATAAAATACTTTTCTAATTTGATTCAAACATAACAAAGATAATTCAATCATTGAAATGTCTGTATTTGTCAATCATGATATTTTTCAAAATTTATCACAAACTTTGATGAAATTTTTTGAATATGCATATTTATTACATAAGATGTCATACTATGTCATTTTTGTTCATCTTAATATAAAATTTCATGTTTTTAGAAATTTTTAAACAAGTCAAACTAATGTGATATAATATTATTAAATTGGAAAAATATTCATGAATCAATTGTAATTATTTGTTGATGTTTTGAATAATTTTTTTGATTTTAGACTTCATGACAAAAAAATCAATTCAATTTTATTTAAATGAAATTTATTAAGTAGTACTGGTTTCAAATTTTACCCTACAAATTATAAGTTCATGACATCTTGCTAGAAGAAACAATATCATTGTGAGGTCATGAAAATATGCAAATATTTTAATTTTTTTTAACTAAATTTATATCATGACTTGGAATTGTTATCTATAAAAGAAGATTGTTTTGATCATATCCCAATTTATAGTTTCAAAACGATAAATAATAATCATTTAAAATTTTATATAACATCATTTTAAAGTATATGCACTCATATGTCTATTATATACAGTGAATGATTTAAATATAATTATTTATATAATATTTTTAATTTACATAATAATATATTTCAATGTATTTTTTTAAGTAAATAATAATAATTTAAATTGCTTTACAGATAATTGACTGATACAAATATTTAATATTTCATCATCATGTATGTATATATTTGTGAGCTAAGTCAAATTAAACAAGAGTTGTTAGAGAAGTTTGAAGATTACACGTACAAAGTTTGTTTGATTGGATAATTGGGAATCCAATCGTCCAAGGAAATAGTGATGAAAATCCAATTTTTGCAAAAATTGAGCAATTGGCGATAAAACACTTTGTGATCTGATTATTGCTTAAATTACTTCAAACTAGAGCACAAAAAGAGATTTTAGATGTTCATCATAATACATTGAATGCTTCATCGTCAATAAGTACAATTCATCCGTCCAACACGGCTTCAAGAATGGAAGTTGCTATGTTGTCACAAATGACACAGATGAGCGTTCAATTTCTTTCAACCTCAAACTTTTCACATCACGGAAAGAGATTCAAACAAGTTACAAGGTTTCAAACAAGTTACAATGTTATGTCTATAAACAAACAGTGCACATTTCAAGAGATTGTCCCAATCGTGATGCACATAGATATTTTTCATCAAGACACGTTACTTTTATGAATGACAAAGGTAAATGTTAAGTGAATATACTTTAGATTCAAGACAAAACAAGAAAAATATTATGATTAAATTTGAACAATCTTTACTCAATGAGGTCTAATGAAGAATAATAGCGGCAAAACAAAGGCAACAAGAAGCTCAATCGCAATTGATTTTGGATTGTTTTGACTTATTCGATTCCTCATATGTTGCTTGGTCGTACTCTTCATTGTCTTACTTTTGCTTGTTGACAGCTGACATAGACTACTCAATGTCGTTATTGATTTTGGATTGCTTTGACTTATTTGATTTCTCAAATGTTCCTTGATCGTACTCTTCATTGTCCTACTTTTGCTAATTGTAAGTTGACATAGATTGTCCATCGTCCTCATTGATTTTGGATTGCTATGACTTGTTCATTCCTCAAGTGTTCCTTGGTGGTAGTTTTCATTGTCATACTTTTGCTTGTTGTAAGGTGACATAGACTGCTAATCGTCCTCATTGATTTTGGATTGCTTTGATTTATTTGATTCCTCAAGTGTTCTTTGATCATACTCTTTATTGTCATACTTTTGCTTGTTGTAAGATGACATAAACTGCTCATCGTCCTCATTGATTTTGGATTGCTTTGACTGATTTGATTACTCAAGTGTTCCTTGGTCGTCCTCTTAATTGTTCTACTTTTGTTTGTTGTAAGCTGGCATAGACTGCTCATCGTCCTCATTGATTTCGGATTGCTTTGACTGATTTGATTACTTAAGTGTTCATTTATTGTACTCTTCATTGTCCTACTTTTGCTTGTTGTAAGTTGACACAAACTGGTAATTGTCGTTATTGATTTTGGATTGCTTTGACCTATTCGATTCTTCAACTTTTTCTTGGTCCTCTTCATTGTCATACTTTTGCTTGTTGTAAGTTGATATAGAATGCTCATCGACGTCCTTAATGTTGAATTGCTTTGACTTATTTGATTCCTCAAATGTTACTTCGTACTACTCTTCATTGTCCTACTTTTGCTTGATTTAAGTTGACATAGATTGCTCAGCGTTGTCATTGATTTTGGATTGCTTTGACTGCTCAGCGTTGTCATTGATTTTGGATTGCTTTGACTTATTCGATTACTGAAGTGTTACTTGGTTGTACTTTTCGTTGTCATACTTTTGCTTATTGTAAGTTGAAACGGACTTATCGTATTCTTGCTTCTTCTGTTGAGATTTGACAATCTTCATTCCTCAAGTGTTCCTTGGTTGTGCTCATCATTGTCTTACTTTTGCTTGTTGTAAGCTGACATAGACTTATCGTATTCTTGCTTCTTCTGTTGAGATTTGACAATCTTCATTCCTCAAGTGTTACTTGGTTGTGCTCATCATTGTCTTACTTTTGCTTGTTGTAAGCTGACATAGACGGATTGTATTCTTGCTTCTTCATCTGAGACTTGACAATCTTCCATTTTTCTCCTTCGGCTTCGCTAAACACTACGACACCATTGTCATCCCCATGATCTTCCTTAAACGATTTCATGAAGAAGTCAATTGATGAACTCTTATGTTCGTTTGGATCCTTGGCAGCTTTTGTGGCCTTCTTGGACTTCAGTTGCTTCTTTGACTTTTTCACAACCGCCTTACATTTCTTTATATCCTTGTTCACAACTTTGCTAACTTTTTCATTCACAACCCGCATGTTTGCTGCTTTCTTCGTCTTCCTCTGTATCTTTAATTATAAAGTCTTAGACTACGCTGTAGATTTGTAAAGCAATTGTTAATCTTTTTTCACACATTCACCAACAAGTTTTTGTTCTTACTCAAAATTAATATATTATACGTAATCTTTAAAATCATTATATCAATAAAATTTCAAATTTTTTTTTAAAATGAAATGAAAATGTACTCTAACTCTTTTAATTTTGAAACGAATTGATTTTTTCATCATCCTTGCTTCTCAATGCAAACAGTTTCATACTTGATGAAAGAAGAATATTTGAAAATCTATCCAAAAACATATTTTTGATGATGTTGAAAATAACTTGCATAAGAAATTAGATATTTACATATGTTGTATTTATATGTGGAGTTCTTTGGATTTTTTTTTGGTAAGTTAGACTTCATAATTAAATGACCTGAACTATACAATGAACTGAACTTGTTTTAATCGACTCATTCTGATGGTAGTGGTTCTCAAGACATGAGATAAAAAACATTAGGCACAAAATTTGGAAATTCTATACTCAATATTTATGTGGAAAATTCATTGTCATTTCAAACATTCAAATTATGACAGTGAAAAGTAATTATAATTCAATTATTCAACTTCATTGACAGATAAAAAACAAGCCTTTAGGATAAAACACTACTCTTGTATGCTGATAAATCCTGGTATACCGTCGTAAATCAACTGATGTCTTCATTTATCAACCATCTCCTTCGGCATTTGAAAACGTGGTATAGAATAAGGGGGCTTCACTTGAAAGGAGACCCAGAAAAGTGAGTAGTTCAGGAATCCCATGGACGATAATCATTGAGTCCTCACATCGGAGCTTGAAAACGTGGTATAGAATAAGTGGGCTTCACTTGAAAGCAGACTCAGAAAAGTGAGTAGTTCAGGAATCCCATGGACGATAATCATTGAGTCCTCACATCGGAGCATGCAGGGGTAAATAACAGGCTTGCAATCGGCGAAAATCGGAACAAAAGTAACTGAAGGATTCTTGTTCCAAAGTGTGAAGCAGCTTAGAATAATAGGCCTGGAAAAATTAACAGGAGAAAAGCCTGCCATCAAGCGATTTTCTCGGAAGTCTTCCCGATCATTCACCGAAACTTGTCTGGAAATAGAAGAAATCGTAGCGAGCCCTGGTTGAGGTTAGTTCGGGGACCGTTGTTGATTACGTCGGTTTCATGCCGTTTTGACCACGACCGTAACTTGCAGGATGGTGTTAAGTCCAAGGTTAATTTTGGTCGAAATAAGCGAAAATGATAGCAGCTGCGTGTTCGTCGACAACAGAAGCATAACATTCAGCATGGAACAGAACGAAAGCACTACCTAGGCTCTGATCATAAAGCGGAGCCACGTGTATGCAGCTTGGAGATATTGATGCCGAAAGGAACGTCCGATCTACACATGGCGCTTGGCCGCCTCGACCAAGAACAACAGATTGACGACGAGGACTGATTTTGTTAAGAGAGAAACGACGCACCGTCGTCCGTTCCAGAAAACGTTGCAGTTACAGCTCAAAGAGAGTCTTCACATCCTGTCTATCGATTCTCGATTCGTCGTTCAGTGCAGTTGGGACCAGAAGTCTCAACCACGTGACCTCATAAGACCTTTGGAGCTGTCCGCCGATCATCTACTTCCGTTGACAGGACGGTGAGGAGAAGTAGTTCACGCTGCAAACATGCAGGCCAATTGGATCGTCCCATCCACATACTTGACCGCTCGTAAGTTTGACGTGCTTGACAATTGGTCCTACCTCATATATCATATAGTTTACATTTGCACACCGAGTCGATTTGTGGGCCATCCTATGTCCATCCTCAAGGGAAACGTGTTTATTCTTATGACCATTGCACGGATTGTATTCCATGAACAACGGCAACGATCGACGAGGGGAAAATAACGAGGAAACGAGTTGGCATGCCTTGTCGGAAAATACATAGTAGTACTGCAACGTGGTTAGCCATGCGGGCTACAAGTGAAGTGAATTAGGATCAGCAGACGACGAGCATCATAAGCCTCGGTCTACTGTAAGCGATATAATCAGGAGTCTGACAATGACAATCATGGAAACAGTGCAGATGTAAATAAAATCCGTTTTTTACAGGGCTAGCGAGTATAGTCGTCAGTCGACTTGCACATTCAATGAGACGATGATGCGAGCTCTCTTCTAACACATCGCTATCGTCAGCACCAACGGAGCAACAAGTCCAAGACGTGAATTGACCATTGGGGCATTGATACATTGCAGCAGGGCATGTGTTATGCATCTTTAGCTACAGAAAATTGAACTGAGACAAAGCCATACGTACGTGCATGGTAAGCCGAGGTTTAGGCTAAAGGTGCACTGGGCCGCCCCGACAGTAAGAGTCTTCTTAACACTGAAAAGGCAAAAACCTGAACTCCAATTACTCAAGATTAAACAGCGTGGGCAATATATCTGAACAACAATGCACCTCGCGGTCAAACAGGTCCAGACTCCTGGAAGTGCCTTAAATTGTGGTGACTTCCCTTAGGGCTGACAAGATCCTCCATCAATTAGTAGCATCTTTTGGCCTATACTCTTTTGGTCTAATGGTTACAGGCACTCCATTGTCATTTGGGCATTGCCCCTCGTAGAAGCAACAAAGTCCTATCTAACCCTTTGGAACATGAAGGCAATTCCTATATATATATATACTATTCTAAATTGGCCTGTGTCGAGCTTCCAGTGCATCTCTCAGATGACGAACTACAGTGGAAAACTCATTTTCTGAGAACGTATTCGAATGTACTCGAAGAAGCCAGTTGCGACCTCTTTTCGAGAAAATTATGTAAGTCCAGACGAGAGAGAATCCAATAACAGCACCAGCTGCAAATGCTTTTGCCGAAACGCGGTCCATCAAGTTCATTAAGGTTTTAGAGGGATTCTCAATCGGCACGTAAGGCTTGCAAGTTCTGTTGATAGGATCGCCAGTGAGATCAGGATTCCCCGGCAAGTATGAGGAGTTTCCGTACCTGGTGTTGAAACTATTCATAAGTGGGATGCACCCTGACAACTTGTTGTTCTCAAGATGCAGTGATCCCAGCGAGCCCAAACGTGCGATCTCAGTGGGGATAGGCCCAGTGAGTTGATTTGATGAGAGGTCCAAGGAACTCAGCTCGGCGAGTGATCCCAGCTCTGGTGGTATGGATCCAGTGAAATGATTTCTCGAGAGATTGAGAAACAGGATACCGTGAAGAGCACCAAGAGTAGCTGGGATCTCACCCGAGAAGTTGTTGCTGGACAAATCAAAACTAATGACCGTCTGAAGAATCCAATTCCAGAACAGCTCCTGGCCATTCACGGTTATGTAGACCACTTCATACAGAGCACTATCTTGCAGATTGGACGTTACTTGCCTCGTGACATTCATTCCCTTCAGTTGAAGAAGATCTGCTGCTGGGAGGTTTCCACTGAGTTTGTTCTCTGAAAGATCTAATATCTGCAGAGAACTCATCCTCCAAATCCAAGCTGGAACCGTGCCCTCCAGTTTGTTGCCCGCTAGGCTCAGAACACGCAACAGCGTCGTTGTATTCCCTGTGAAAGAGACATCAGGAATTGATCCACTGAACATGTTCTTGCTCAGATCTACCACCTCGAGTTTTTCGAGGTTTCTGAGCCCGACTGGGATTGTCCCCTCAAAGAGGTTGGAAGCCAACGACAGAGTCATCAATGATGGATTCTTGCTGAAATCATAGGTGAGCTTTCCACTCAGATGGTTATGAGCCACTCGCAGCCGTTCAAGGTTCGTACAGTTCGAGAAGGTATCAGGTATGGTTCCAATCAGCTTGTTTTCAAAGATCCAGAGACCTACGAGTCCTTGGATCAGTCCGAGCTCCTTCGGAATTTCACCTACGAGGAGATTGGTATCCAGGTGCAGGATTTGGAGATTGGTCATTTTACCCAAGTCTCCCGGTACTTGGCCGGTAAATAGGTTGTCTCCCATATTCAAAATTGTGAGACTTGAACAGTTGGAGAGTGACCTGGGTATATTTCCGCGCAGAAGGTTGGAGTAAATGACGATTGATCCCAACTGTGACAGAGATCCTAGTTGTTCGGGTAGACTTGTGAAACCGTTTTCGTACAAGGTCAAGTTGATCAAACTTGAGAGATTCCCAAACTCAGGTGGTACTTTTGATCCCAGATTGTTTGCGGACGCATCCAATTTTGTTAACCTGCTAAGTTTACCCAGTTCACGAGGTAGATCTCCTCTCAAGCTGTTGTTACCGATCATAAGATCCTCCAAGAATTCTAAGTTCCCAAGCTCGCGTGGTATTTCTCCTGTGAGATTGTTGCTGTGGAGGAACAAACTTTTTAGAAATACCAATCCCCCGATTGAGCTAGGTATAGATCCTGTGAATCTGTTTGTATCCAGGTACATCTCTGTCAAACCTTTCCAGGAGTCAAAAGTCTCATTCAAAGATTCTAGAGAATCATTGAACAAGCAATGCCCCAGGTTTAGAATGCTTAATTTGCTGAGACCTGTGAGCGCTCCAGAAATTGATCCAGACAATTGATTGTTGGGAACACGAAAGGCTGCGAGATTTCTGAGCTTTGAGATCGAGTCAGGCAAGATGCCTGTGAGGCTATTTAGCCCGAGATCCAGATCCTGCAGCTGCTCTAGATTCCCGATCTCCTGCGGAATACCTCCACTGAACTGATTGAGGTTCAGTCGGAGTTTCTGCAATGACTTCAGCTTCCCCAGTGCTTTGGGTAAGGGCCCTGACAATCTATTTTCATTGAAGTCGAGGTATACTAGATTGACCATGTCAGATAGAAGCTTCTCTGACAACCTACCTTCGAAAAAGTTTCTCTTGAGATGCAGCTTCCTCAACTGAGAAAGCCGTGATAGCTCAGAGGGAAGTGTTCCATTGAGATTATTGCCTCTAAGGACGAAGTCTGTCAGGTTTTGAAGTGATCCGATCTCTTTCGGGATAGATCCTGTGAGCTGATTGTACCCAAGGTCTAGCACTTGGAGACTCCTCAAGCTTCCCACCTCTTTTGGAATAGGTCCTGTAAGCAGATTGGACCCAAGGTCTAGATGTCGCAGACTCTTCAAGCGTCCCACCTCTTTAGGAATACTGCCCTCGAGCTGGTTTTCACTCAGTCTCAGTATCTTCAGATTTTCCAGGTGGATAACAGTTGCTGGGATCTGCCCTCTGAAAAGATTAGTACTAAGATCGAGCTCTTCCAGCAAAGTAGAGAAGTTGAATGAAAGATTACCCTTGAAGTTGTTCTTCGCCAGACTGAGGACACGGAGACGCTGTAGAGGCTGAAAGGTGTCCAGGACAGCTCCGTCAAGACCAGCATTGTTCAAGCGACCTTCTGTCAGGTTAGTCAACCGTCGAAAGGCAGCAGGTACGGGTCCCTCGAGCATGTTGTTGGATATGTTCAGGACCTCCAGGTGCTCCAGCTCTCCAAGCTCTGGGGGAAGGCTGCCTGTCAGCGAGTTGTTGCTCAAATCCAGGTACTTCAGCGAGCTCGAGTTGAGCGCCTTCACGATGTTTGAAACTATTCCTTCAAAACTGTTCACGCTCAGATCCAGCTTTTCCAACGGGCTCGACCAAGCATTTGACCTCGATAAATCTCCAGAGAAGTTGTTAAATCCCAGATCGATGGTTTTCAGATGCAGAAGCTGTCTGATCTCCGCGGGGATCAAGCCTGTCAGGTTATTCTGCCTTAATGAGAGATGCTCTAGTTTTGCGAGCCTAGCTATCCCGGAGGGTATCTCTCCCACAAGAGAATTGTTCTCCAACAGAAGGGCTGTTAAACTTCCAGATAGGGCGCCCCAATCTTTGGAGATCATGCCTCCAAGATTTGGATTCGAGTATATGTGTAACACCTCTAGCTTACTGAGATTTCCCAAACGAGGAAAAGGCCCAGTAATGTTGGTGAATCCAATGATCAGTTCAGACAGATTAGAACATTTCCCCAAATCTTCTGGGATGAGTCCCGATAGATCCGAGTTGAAATCTAGTCGAAGTGAACTCAATGACTTCAGGCGGCCTAACTGACGAGGAATTTGGCCTTGCAGTGAGTTGCAGCTCAGGTCCAAAATAACCAATGACTTGCTCTCGCCCAGGCTTACAGGTATAGGCCCAACAAAGTGGTTACCAGAGAGATTCAACGTTTGCAGATGAGGGAATTTTCCCAAGGAATCACCGATGACTCCCTTGAGCTCCTTCCTTTCCAAATTGATGGAGGCTACCCGCTGGTTTTTGCATCCAATCCCACTCCAGGAGCAGACGTGATCGGTGTTATTGAGTTTCCAGTCGGCAAGCGCTCCTCTCGGATCTCCGCTTATGCCCCTCGTAAACTGCACCAGTGCTTCCCTTCAACAAGAACAGTATCGTATCCAGTGCGTCAATCCAAAGTTCAAGGAAATCAGAGTTCAACTTTAAGGAGAACAAGCCTCAGACAGAATCAAGGAACATTATGCTCTAGAAGATGTGTATCAGAGTATGCATAATTTCCACTCTTCGTGTCGTCTGCAACAGTCCATGCAGATTCCGGGAGGATAGACGTCACCGAGCTCAGACTTGTGAATATCAGAATGTTCCAACTACTGATTCAGCACTACGTGCAGGTTCTGGAGAGAATGGTGGTTCTTCTGGTTCTACCTGTCAAAAGAATCATTGCTCATGCTCAGACTGGCCTCCAATTTAGACAGATGTAAAACACTTGTTGAAGCACCACCAAGTTGTCTACGATCGTGAGATTGACCTGGAGTATCCTTCAAAACCTCCTCACGAGGACTCATGTCTGGAGTTTCGTCGGTAAATATGAAGGTACCTGCCCCGAAGAATAACAAGAGGAGTATCCAATGCTGATACAAGAGAGACATTGCGCATGCCATTTCTTGATTTTCGTCGATTCGGAGCTGGCTTCAGGTTTATTTCATTTTCAAGTGTTCTATAAATATGTTGCTTTCCAGTCGTGAAGTGAATCCACGGCTCCGTTTCATACATTTTAGTTGGCGTGTTCAGATTTTTCAACAGTGAGGCACTGTGGTCATCACCTTGACCTCGAACACTTGAAAGTCCACAAAATTCAAAAGATTGACTTTGACAGTATTCAGGTACAATAGTTACATGTCTTCCCTCATTCTCGAAGGCAATTTGATGAATGTGTATCCAAGCTTACATCACAGTTATCAAACCCTGCACAGATCCATTTGACATTCCTCTGTGCAATGTGCTCGACTAGTCCTTGATTGTTGTGAAAGATCGAGAGAAGCTCACCTCTGAACACGTCCATACTTGGTGTATGCTTGAAATCACTTAGATCATATAGTACACATGTTGACAGACTCATCACAACTGTAAATTTATGGTTTTAGTGACGACTATGAGAAAGTCGTGGCTGCAGTCTGATCAATAGAATGTACGTCAGACAAATTGGAGGACACATGTAAGAGCAAGAGTCGGCAAACGTAAACTGGAATGTGAATCTCGAATTTCGAGCCACATCGAGGAATTTATTGCAGCAGGACTGGCTGCTTGTGTGCACGTCTACACAAGTCTTCAATGCAACGTTGATCAGACTAGACACAGATTCTCTTGCATGTTCCTTGTAGATGCCATCAGAAGTCGTCTGCTTGCTTTATGATCACGGATTACACAGCACATTGACAGTTTGTTGAAGTTACAGAAATAGCTAGATGTGGACTGTGAGGAGAATTGACCGGATTGACATCTCGACGGAGAGAACTCCCTCTCTCAATCATGGTGCGTGGAGCATTAGGACCAAGAATACTTGACATTTATGAAGAGAATAGAACATAGACATAAGAACTCAGTATATGGTAAACGGAAATAAAAGAGGGTAAACATGACTTTGGGACCTGGGGTCTCGAGTCATGCCATTTATAAGTCGGATTGGGGGGACCTGCGGTCTCTCAAACCGTCTTACTATAAGCTACTGCAGAAGGAAACGTTCCTCATCAGATATTCAACGTCCTAATATGAATAAATTCACATGCTCAGTCTGGATCCATTACCATGGATATCGCGAAGCAACCAAGAACCTTTCACATATCTTTGTGTTTACTTAGTGGTGTTACATACTTGGTGGCTCTGCACGTCATTGTTATGACTCATACAATTTTGAATGTATCACAAGTAGAAACTTAACACAAAGCTGTTTGCACTCAAATTCAAGTTTATTTGTTAGAGAATCTAGTGATTGTAAAGATTAGTGGGTAATGATACCAGTTTATGCATCTTTTGTAAGCTCAGGCAATATCTCGTTGAGAAAAGATTTGCTGTAGATAAACCTATTGGAAAAACACTGATTTTTGCTAGATTGTTTCCATAATTAATGATGAATTCAAATCCTAATATTGAACATCACCACAAGTTAATATTCATAATGTATAAATAGATGAAAAATTTGCATTTATATAAACCAAATTATAGAAAGAAAAAAATGATGTATCGAGTTTTACTTATCCATTAGAGCAAAAAATTATTATCAATATGATATATCATCAAATAAAAAAAATCACGATAAAATATCCATTATATAAAAATTTAATATTTTGAACTCCAAAGTTTCATAACTTACTACATCAATATCTCCCACATTCCAAATAAAGAACTTTCAACATATTTTTCTCCAGACCCCATTATATGTGAAATAAATTAGAAATATAATTTCTTACGATATTAGCTAAATTTTACTCGTAGATGTAATCTCACTAGATATTATATCCATTAGATTGAAAGCGATATACTAAACATACTAAGTTAAACATGACATTAAGAACAGTGATGTACTCGGACAACGTAATTTAAGATAAAAAAATTTCAATACGGGAAAGAGAGATGACTGAACACTGCACTAGAATTGGACTGCGAGTATAGTGTTATGGCTAACTCAAGATACAACTTCAAAGCGGTCTGTGAGATTCTCTTTTCATGGCCACATAATTCTAGCTAGGATGGTGGATCTGAAGAGATCAGGTTCCTCAATATAGAAATATTTCAGATTGTGGATGCAACAGTTGTTTCGCATATCTAGCGAGCAGTTTCGCTGTTTCTTTTTCGGTTGCTAGCTATCTGATCATGACTCTTCTGTATGGTCATTATGAGCAAAATGAAATCACATCCACGAATTGGTAGATGAAGTTCTGAAGCTAAGCTGTAAGTCGAGTGTAATGCGACTTTGACGTATAGATATATGTAGCCCTTGCCAAAAGCAGTTGCTGTTATTTTCATGACTTGCTTTGTTATCCCCAAGATCTGGTAACCTTGTCTTCTCGTGTACTGATGTGTAGAACACCATCCATCTGCAGGTTGGTTGTCAACATAAATGAAGACCTTCAGTCTCAGCTCAGTGCAAAGACCTGTAAAAATCACCGAAGCCTTTTCGAAATTCTTGGACTGATGTGCATCGGCATAGTTCTGAAGGGATTCCTCAGCCTGAAGGTTTATACCTATGAGGACGAGCACATGGACCAAACCTCTGTGCTTCTGGCATATGGATACTACTTATCACCTAATGATGAACATTCGCAGTCATTGAATTTATAAATGTGTCTCAGCTGATCATTCATTTCACATATGTACTTACTGGTTGATTATCCTGAGACAAGAGTTTTCTTCAGTTATTAGGTGACGAAATATTTCCAGCATGTTCTTAGCAGAAGACATGCATGGTACTGCTTATCCAGTTGGTTAAAGCTACCAGAAGAAAGAAACACACTCATTTTAATATGCGCGTACTATTCTTTTGATTAGTAGGTTCTAGCTGAAGTTTTACTTCATGGAAAGAACCCATACCTCGTCTCGTTATCCTTCTCAGGTGGGGTCTACGATTATTGACAATTTGAGTGTTCTGTAGTTGTAGATAGGGGTCCACATATGCTCTGACCTTTCTTCTCAGCTGACTCAAAAATTGGCAGCAAGCCAAAGTGGTCCTATGAAGTGCAAATTCTGTTCATCATCTGTTCAACTCAGACGATTGAGGTTTGACTCCTGCGACAAGCAACGACCGCTCTGCTGTGTGTGTATCTGGATGATTCCATAAAAAATTGACCATAGACGTTGAAGCAGACACTTGAGCGAGGCAAGAAATTCTCGTACTAGGAGAATCGAAGATTAATTAGTAATTCAATTCTTGTAAACTCTGGCGCAGTCCAAAGGGCGACATATAATCGAAACTCCATTTTCTCTGAACAGTAGACAACGTGCATTAGCACTACTATAACACAAGGGACAAAGGGACAAAGGAGTACATATTCCACATATTTATGTTGACACAATTTTATATCATGGTCTGCAGAAGCCATGCCAACCTGGTTGCAAGCCATCGTCAAATCCACATTATTCTGTGAATTTCATCGCATTTCAAAAATTCATATTTATTGTTTCATTTGTTTTTCGAATTTCTCTAAAACTTCTAGAAACTGAGAACAGAGTATTGTTGACATTCGCATATGTAACGCGCTCATGAAATTTATAAGACAAATGAAGGGGTGTTGACTATACTTTCATGCTCACTTTGGGCTCGAAGTGTGGGTCTGACGGATGGGAATCGTTGAAGTGACAATCTTTCAAGCTCAGCTACAATCACGCAAGTACACGAACGCTGAAAATAGAATGAGAAGACTGGCGTCGATTTTGTGTGTAAAATTATGGCAAGTAATGAGTGTTTTCCAGCTACACTACAGCTGTGGACACAATCATCGTGAAACGAGTTAACGTCATCCTATTTTCAATACTACGTGTGACATTCATATATCAACAAAATTCAGTACAAACATTACGCGGAAGTAGTGATGCATCTTTAGTTCGTTCTTAATTGATCTCCATGAGTTTCGTGACTTCGCTCTCTTCATTTTCAGTATCCATGCATATGAGTCCTGCATTTACCGTAATATACATCTCTTCATTCAAAATTTCCTTCTTTTCTGGTCAGTGTTCTAATCTCTCCTCGCTTGTTAGCACCTTTGTGTGGCTCGAACCGAACTCTCGGTCGACTCCAGCGACTCCAGCCCGGGCTCAATGTGACAGGACGACGTTTTCGACTTGGGCTATGATAGCCTCCACCAAAGGACACTGCATGGCATGAAGTGTGGGCAAGATCACAGCTATCCAGGTCTAAGTATCCCTGGAAAAAAACATCGAGCAAAATTTTTGTACATATTCCATTTCAAACGAGACTTTCATGGTTGTTCATTATAGAAAAAGCATAATGAAAGTAGTTAAACCAAATGTCAAGTGAAGACAGGTCTTCACTTGACTTTATTGTTGCTTCTTTTTCAACACTGTAGAGAACCTATATGGTAATTATTAGATGCAGCACCTGAAATACAGAGAGAACAACTGCTTGCATTGTCCGATAAATCTACAATAAATATATCGTCTTCTAAAGTTTTCTTCTTTTCAACTTCGTGTTTGTGCGTCAGGAGCATAAATTGCTTTAATGCGTCACTTGGTGTAAATATCCAGTTTTTTTTAACCCTAATCTGGCCAAACATGTAGTCCCCTTCCATTCTTCAAGCTCAAGTAGTTAATAAAAAAGGGGCTGACAAAGCTAATGATGGAAAACAATTTGAACTTACCTTGCCATCAACGCCTGTAATGACTTCGGAAAGCTGGGATGAACATTTCACTTTAACCTTTGTACCGATGATCTTTCTTACTTTTGTATGTTGTTTCGCCCCCGATAAAACAAAACTATATTTAGATTCAAAGATTGTTATGACTTCGGAAAGCTGGGATGAACAATTCACTTTAATATTTGTACCGATGATCTATCTTGCTTTTCTATGTTTTTGTTTCGCCCCGGTAGCTATATATAGATTCAAATGTAAAGAAGTTTGATACGCAATTAAAAGAA